CCCGTGTCCTTATTTCCGAAGCAATTGTCAGCCAATTTAAAAAAGGCGCTTTGGTTGGGATCGAACCCACATCGATGAAACGATGGTCTTACCCATTTGATCATAATGCACACATTAATCGACAGTGCCGAGTCTAGCATCCAGAGACTTTCGAGCATCAGTGATGTTGGAATAGACATTTCATAGTATTTGACCAAGAACCTAGTATCCACTTTCTTGTTGTTGAGTTGAATTTCACACACTGGGGCCCAATTTCCCCAACAAAGCATGGTAATCTTTTCAGTAAAGCACTAGCTACTTCCTTGATCACGAACTTAATCAAAATGGACTTTTAAATAGATATACGAAGACGAAACGCTTATTCGATCATCAGGTGTGTGCTTTTTTATTGTTGAATAGCTTTGGCTTGGAGATATAAGTTGTATTGTGGTGTATCGCGTTTCAGGGAAGATGACTTGCCATTTCTTATTAGGTTGTAGATCCCGATTCTTAGTCGTATGTTACACCACATTCGTCTTGCATTCTAAATAAGTCACATTCAAAATCCATGGAGGCTGAGAATATGTAGTACTAAGGAAGTAGTTTGGCGTGAAATATAACCAGGATAACTGAGCCAAAACAGGACAAGTATCTGTATACAAATACACTTAAAAACACCTCACTTTTGAAGACCAGCTTAGAAGTAGCTGAATGGCATGAACTGTCCACTAATGCTGTCTGACAAGGAGATTTTGGCGTATTGGTCAATCAATCGGCGTACCCGATAAAGTTAGTTGAGTTGCGCAATGTTCGGCAAACTAACAACGTCGCTTAAATCATAGCCAACACATCCAGCCGTTCAAAAGTGATATTTCAGAAGTATACAATGTGTTTTGTGTTGACATGCTTGCCTCACGCGTTTGAACAAGACAGTTCGAATTGCCTTGCGTGCATGGAGTTGCCCTTCATGGTTTTCACGTTACCTCAGTGGTGGACACAGCTTGAAGGATGAGAGAAATTACGAAGTTAAGAGGTGTGTCCCGGGGATACTGCCGATCGAAAAATGTTTCCGAGAGTTATCGACTACCAAAATACACTAACGAGGGGGAATCATCTGCAACTTAGAAACTATACGGGTGACATTAGTTTGGTTTGCATGCCGAACAAACATGAATGCTGCGCGATATTAGGCAGTTACCTTTTGCTACATCCTCTTGCGTCTGTGCTCCTCCGTGTTCGCCGCTGTCTCCGGTTCCAAGACCGTGTCCGGCCATATGATGTTCCATGTGTTCTTCCATCGAGTGTGGTTGCGGCTGCACTAAAACGCCTTTAACGGAAAGCGCAAACAACGAATTGATTGACAAGTAGTTCTATCGGTGACTTGGCGCGTTCGCGAACTGGGGAAATGATACTTCTTTCGGTGACTCGTTCGGAATTACGATAGCATAAACGATATGAGAATACAGGTATTCAGCATCCTTTTGCACTTGAGGGCATCACAAACGTTTGTTCAAAGTCCCCTCTTAAACCCATGGCTTCTAAAGCACCTTGAAATCGTTGAGTGATGCAGTGAAAGACGGGCAAGTGAATTAGTAGTAAGGGTCCAACGTCCGAATGGATAGTCTGCTGGCGTATTATGTATTGAAATGTTGTGAAGCACACAGCAAATTTATGTGACATGACTGTTGCTGGTGCTATGTTGCGCTACGTAAGCGCCTACTCTATGCAGTACGATGTAGAAACTTGGTAGATTTGGCTAACTTATCCTTAGAATAATTGCTACATCCAAATCCACTATTGCATTTTAAGAACTCGAAAGCAAGGCATGTAGATTGGTGTGAACGCAAAGGACGCTGACCCTTCAACAAGCTAAATGCAACACTGAGGACATATGGCACAGTATTCATCCATTTGTCGGAGAAATTATTTCGCTCCATATCTGAACTTAGGTTTCTCGAAAAGGATACCTCAGATCGCATATTGCTTGCAAAACACAAGGGATTGTATGTTGTCTGTTGGATCCTGATTCACGCCGATGATAGAGAAGTGGACTCTTTGGTCCACACTCCACTTCCACCTTACGTTTAGTTATTTCGTGTGGTATGTTTAAGAAGTGAGTTTGATATTCGATTCCCCATGCATCACTCTTGTACTGTGCTTCTTCATCGTTCAGAATCACCAGCAGTGCGAATCTCACGAAACTCGAAATGCTTCGAACCCGCTGCAATCCGGCCAGCACTTGAACAATTAACCGTTCAGTCAAGAGTGGCTGATCGGTAGTGTGATGATCTCCGAATAAGAAAGGACATAGCGCCACTCTTCGAAGAATCCACATCACGTGACCACGTAAAGTGACAGCTTCTCGAAAGAAAGATTCACAAAACAGTAAAATCATCCTTCCTCTGAGCCGTTTAGTGTTTCATAGAAATGTGAAATTTGGTCACGTTTGATGAAGAATAACCAATAAACTGTTCAGAGGAAAAATGGTTCCTTCCGGGAAGTCGTCACTCAAGAAACTCGTCAACACGTGACCACGTGATGTGGCTTTCCTTATGAAAGGATGAGTGGGCATCAAATTCCCTCTTGGGAGCTCATCGCACTGCTGATCAGCTACGCACGGCCGAACGGTTGTGTTCAATCACTGCTAGGAAGATCTCGCGTTAAAAACTTGCTGGATTTCGTGGAATGTCCACTGTTGGCGATTCATCAACAAGCATGAAACAAATGTAAACCCTCCTCTTGGTTTTTCAGCTTAAATTGGCCTCAGTGACAAGATACAATCTCCACTGGATATGAGAACATCTCCTCATATCACTACAAAACCTATATTTGCCAAGCTATTGACAGTTTCGGAAAATCTGACACAAGGCCAGTTCTCCTTAAAGGTAAAATTTATCTTTCTGTGAACGATCTTCCCCTTTTATCAATGTTTCCTCCTGGGGTAAAAGAATGGGAGACTCTGCTTAGTCTTATTTTATGGGGCACAATTCACTTTCCTTCATCCAAAAGTCGGAATTGATGGCTGTTTTTCCATTATATCCAGCAAGTGGACTGTTTCCCCTACTAGCCATTGATAAAGGCTGACTACAGCTCATTCTGACTAGTGAGCCAAAAATTCCAAAAACCGAAAGCCGGAGGGGAAAATGACCAAAAAATGTATGAGTAAATAATACAATTCGAATGCGCAAATATTTGTCTGGAATAAAAGTTCAGCTAACCATTTGCCAGACAATACGTCTTTGACATTTGCCTATTGCAAACCTACCAGCAAACGGTTGGAATTCATCACCACAAACAATTTGTGTACCCCGCATTTCAGCGTGCTCCCTTTCAAGTATTACCTGCACAACTGTAATAGAATAAAATAGACATGAGAGTAATCGAAATTAAATACGCATGTAGGGTGAATAAACTTCAGCTGTTTTAAGGAATATCATTTCGTCTATTTGGGAATTGCAGGACTTTCTGGAGCTGGTCAGGTGGCTCATAAAGCCGCTAGAACACCGCCATCACAACCAATCAACCTTCCGGTGAAATAAATACGGCATTCAACCGAAGAGCCCAAGCTATACTCAACAACATGTCCATAGACCATTACAGTATTGTCTAGCGTGCAGTCTGAAGGCTGTTTTGAGTCACAGAACATGAGTCATCCAAATGGTAGTCCATGAATTTATTCACACGGCTAACTAGGCATGTTTTGTAGTGAGGAAGCACACCACCATTGTCAGCTGTAAAAATTATGTACTTGTCGTGCAGTGATTTGGGGTAGTTGCGCACTGGAGGTGATAGCTGATATATTTGATACATAAATGCAGGGCCGTTAGTGGAGATTTAATTGGAGTGATTTGGAGGAGAGTTATGCATTGGATGCAAGCGTGCCATTGAGCTTGCGACTGGGGCATGTCTGACAATGTTTCCATTGGTGTGTTCCGTCCTGGATCCCGGAGGAGAGTTATGCATTGGATGCAAGCGTGCCATTGAGCTTGCGACTGGGGCATGTCTGACAATGTTTCCATTGGTGTGTCCCGTCCCTGGATCCCCATGCAGAGAAACGGCAATGACCAGCTGGTAGGGGTTTTCGTTCTTCGCTGCCAAGTCACTGTTTGAATTCCCCTGGTTCGTTTTGACCCTTCATCTGGGTGGGCGAAGAGCTCTTTGAGAAATTTGGTCGATTGGAATACGGTGCACGTGGCCAAGCCAGGGCAATCTATGGAGTTTGATCAGTTCAACTATCATGAGCGAGTCATCTCTTTTGAAAACCATTCTATGTACTTCAGCCTTACTGATCCTATGTACTCACCGACAATGTTCCGAAGAAATCCATGGTGAAACACAAAGTTTTTGACGTCCTCAACGCGCGACCACCAGGTTCATGACCCGTCTAATAAGATAGAGTGCACCGCAGCATTGTAGACTTGACTGGTGACGGATAAACCGATGTCAGTCACAGCCAGCTCGGCCTGTCTAGTGAAACTGGTTGTTTCCAGTTTCCCTAAGGAGTCCTACAAAATCTCTCTTACTTTGACCTGCATTTTATGGCATGAAATTGTGCAATACCACTAGTTTACTTGGTCAAGAAAATGCGGATTGGTTTACTTAATAAAATTCCCTTATAAGGACGTAACATCCGTGGCGTACAAGCAGAAATCGGCTTTAGGTAATGCTGTAAAAAGCTAAGCCGGTCTTTTGTTAGAGGAGGGGGTAGGGAACATGAACCTTATTCCCCCATACCATTTCCAAAGACATAAGTGACCAAGTCTCTGCAGGTCTACTGAGCTCCTAATGTTAGGTAGAAAAAACGTTGCTTGTCTTTGTAAGCGACAGGTATATCCATTTTTAGATACCAGGAATATGGAAGATGGCGTCACCCGTTGTTGATTGTTAGTCAACACACTATCCATTACTATTCCTTAACCATTCTTCGCAAATAAACGTATAGAGGGAGGATAAAGGGGAATACTTTGTCGTGTTGACAAAGAAAGTATTAAATCGAAAACATGGCAAATTTTCTACGTACCTCCTGCTTCATTCCACGTGAAATTTTTAAGCGCGGAAGTGACTGAGATTCTTGGTTCTCGTGTTAGCTGCCCCTGGGTCGAATAGCCAATCGCTTGTATCATACCGATTAAATTAAAAGTCATACGTAATTCTACGTATACTTCATAAACATAGTTGGAAAACAGTTTTTCCACTTTCATTGTAATCAAGCTTCTTGCAAAGGGAGTTTTTTCAATATTTTTGCGCATCTGAAAAATATTAATCGATTGATTAGAACAATATGTAAAGCGAATTGTCAATAAATTGGCCTTATACCGCATTGTTTATCAAGTAGTTGATAAATAGTCAACAACAGTCAATAAACGATAGTTAATAAATAGTCAATGAGTAGTGTGTACACGAGAACGTAATAGAAACGCACAGGGAAAAGTTTAATTCTAATGCACTGTGTCAGGTCTGACTCAAGTCAGCACATTCAATTCACGCGCAAATTGTGAAGATGAAGCTTTGGAAATTGGGTAACTAGGCCGCAATCTGATCACTGTTTACTAATGCCTCGCAGCACACTCCGCATTTTCATGGTTCATAGCCAACTAGCCAGCAAACCGAATGTCATTTCTGTACAATCCACAACGACCTTTGTGTAACCTCTACTCCACCTTCACCTAGGCCAGCATGAGTCAAAATATCCATCCCAAAAGGCGATGGCACCATCAGTCTTTGGCAATAAGCAGGGCCTTCTCCTGATCTAGAGTTTAGCTACAAGTATAATAATTGGCGATTGTACGCATTTTTTTCTCCTCGGAGTCAAATGCTGCGAATAGCAGAATCGCTGTCTGTCTGTTACAGTGTGTCTGTATGTCTGATGTGGAACGCAACAAGTCTGGTCACAATTAATCGGAAGCTGTGAATCGATTGAAAGCTTGTTGCCATCTCCAGTACGCAAGAATGACAGGACAACTATTCTTTCAGCTTCACTCCGTACCATGATGTAGATGTAGATTCGGGGATTCACTGACAGTCAATTCTGGTAAATGTCTGCAGCTTTTATGCATACTTGCAAGATCATATAAGAAACCGTAGAAAATATCGGCTTCTACAATGTGTATCTGAATGTTGGCACACTGAAAATTTGGAAACCATGGAAGGAACACACCGAAAAAGGCAATATCGCAAGGTGTATTGGATTTTTATAAACAGCCCATTATTTTACTCACGTATTGTGTCACACCATCCTTGACTTTCTGATACTCTTCCGAAGATTCTGAAGGTCTGGACTCCCAGACCAACCACTTTTTATCTTTCTGAACACGTGCGCTGATGCGGTAGTCTGCAATTTGACACATGGTCTGCGTAAAAGCTGTTTATCTGAAAACTCAGCTATTAAAATTGTGCAGTTTAAGTTATTGCAATAGGTCAACATGGTAGGACAAAATGATCTGCTATAGGATCTACGTTTTCCCCGAAAATTAGCCACTCCGAATGAAAATCACTGTATTAACGTTTATGAAAAAGCAGCTCTTTAAAGCTATGGCTAAATTTATAACCCCGTGAAGCGTAGGGGAACCGAGTTAACAGTCAATTTGACGTCAGCGACAGCGCGAGATCCGTTACTGGGTTTTTGCGTAACACAAAATCGTACTCAAGCTAAGAATTGCTAGTCAAAGAGATCATGCTGTCCGCTTTCAAAAAGGATCCACAACACTTGATGGCAGCTCGGGCTCCGAAAACAACAATGTGGGATGTCCCCGGTTCATGTATCATATCATTCAACGGGCGGTCCATCCTTGAAAAAAACTGACCATCTACGAAGTCTTCCTGGCAAAGGATCCTGCAAAAATGTCGTTTTGCTGTTGGTCCAGTGTTCCAGGTGAAGTGTCTACCATGAAAACCTTCCCGATAGTTTGAGTAGACCGAAATTCAACGAAAAAGGAAAGGCGTGGCGGCCTTTTGATATATATATAAATTGTTGCTGGAAAGTCGCCTTCAATTTGGGTCGTCAAATTTGAACTTTTGTATGCTTAGATTCCTTACCTCAGTAAGGCACGTTTACCTCAATAAACACCACACCCGATTGTCTCCGCAACGAACTTTTCGACTAGTTCTTTGAATACTAGTCCAATATATACGTCTCATGCATCCCTAGCTTGTGATGACCTAAACAACGCTGAGATATTTTGCTGAACAAAAGGTGGCTGTTGATCTGTTAGCTGAGCTCGGAAATTTTCTTGCAGACCTGGAGACATTATCAGTGCGCATTTGCGTGGGGCATTTTCGAGACCAGGTTCAAGCTTCACTGTTCCCTCTACAAGTATGTCTCAGAATGTACTGTGTGTGTTTGAAATTTTCAGTACTGTAGTCATCTTATCCTCATTAGTAAGTAGACTCAAGCTGTTTAAACGTCGGTGTTAATGGTGTCTTCGGTGGAGCATCATGCTTGTATAAATCAACGTTCTTTCTTTGTTCCCACCTGTGTTACTCTTCTGCGCTACTATGCACACGTCACTCCAGTCAGATCGTGTCCCATTCAATCTTTATGTAGGAAATTGAACGAAAATTGTTCATGGTTTTTGACAGTGACCCCTTGCTCATAAGTTTGCTGTAAGGTCTCCTCGTTTACACACGTGTTGTGCGTTACAATCCTTGGACTGGATCTTGAATGTGATATTGTTCGTCGCTTTGCCTGTGACAGTTTGAACGATTGTTGTGGTAGCTCAGAATGTGTTCCGTATGTGTCACTTTTCTGTAAACCTTCACTTGTAGATACAAAGTTAGTAATTTGATGGCGAGGACGTCCAAAAATATCTGTTTTCCATCGTTGTGAACCGGATGTCGTCGCAAACGTTGTCTACTAGGTGGCTTATCCACTGCAGTTCATTCTTCTTGCCGACGACGAGAGTGTTGTCCACGTTGCGAATCCAAATTTTTAGGTTTATATGGGGCAACTTGATCTACAATCAATTTATGCATCCGAGCTACTAACATTCCGATATATCGCCGCCCCTGGATGGAAGAACGTAGTAAATCCTACAACACGCACACAGTACCCAAAACCTTACGTACACAACCAGAGATAGTGTCTCCAGAAGACGTTCATCTTGAGTTCAGGAAAATCTAATCGAAAAAGACCAGCGGGCCTAAAACAATGTCCCCATTAATGTTGAAGTGCTGCTTCTCGACAACCTTCGTTCCACTTCGCTGGTTATTGACTCGCGTCTTTGAAAAGTATTGCACTGTCGGTAGAATGAAAATTGCTAGAGTGGCCCCCATATGCAATGCCTGAAAACCAGGTAATCTACCGAAATTCGATCCAACCTAATGCATTTCTGTTTTACTGAGTAGGCTGGTGCGATTACTGCTTGGCGCTGCAGCCAACCAATCCAAATTCGCCGAGATCTTAACTCCGAGGCGGGCTGGACATCTTGAGGCTCCTTCACCTACAGTAGTCCCATCTACTATTGACGTTTACCCACCATCCCTAAGCAATGCTGCAAAATATCTCGTTGTTATGATATATAGCTTTACATGGCCTCAGCACATCGGCAAATTCTACCATACAATTCGAAGACCGTTTCATTTCACGCGAATAAACTCTTAACATAAACATTATCAATTCGGTTGTTCGGAAATCTGCAAAATTCCACCGCTTTTGGGGCCATTCTGAACTGATCCGTTGTCATCGTCAGCAAACTGCTGAAAGTGGCTATATCAGTAGCAACCTGTGCTCTCGATTTTTATCATCACTTAGTAGCAATTTCCTTTAGTTTTCTGCTAGGTACTTAAAGGAAGACGCACAAGGATATCTGTTCAAATTTGTGTAGGCCGACACTTGATGTGATTCTTCACACAGCTCTATATTCAGGGCAAAACGGAAATCCTGGAAATTCTCAATCGACGAGGGATAAAGAACAGTCCTCATCTTTTCCTGTCAGTCTTTAGTGGCAACGATGGTGATCGTGCGGGCGACAGTGAGGACGTTGACGATTTTGATACCTGTGCCTCTGTCGATGACCACGTTCACGGTGGTGTTTTGGCGGTGTGTTTGGTCATGGTTTTTTTTAATAACTCGGTCAGTATCATGTGATTGGTTCAACATGCGCTGCCCATCAACAGATAAGGTTTTCAGTTTCAACTCCATATCCACTGTATGGACTGGGACACTTCGTCACATTTGGCATAAATTCTTCGTCATTTTATTACGGAACCTCCAGCGTCATCACCCCTGTTTTAGCTTGGCTCACAGCTCCCGATAATCTCCACCACACAGCACTTGTTATTCATGAAACAAAAAGAAGGGAAAAAACATTCTGAGCAACAAAGGCGTTTGGCACAAATCGTTGGAACAAACATGCATGCGTAAGCTTGAGAAAGAAGACAGTTGAACGCAGAAACCGGTCCCATGAAATGACTATCAATTTTTTTTGCATTTTGCGTAGCATCACCGATTAATCTGCGATGCAAACTCGATGAATTTATAATAAATTAAACGTAACACGGATTCGAAATCGAAATTATGGTCATGGAGCTTCTTGAATTTATAATTGTGCTCATCAGTGAATTCAGACGAACTGCGGACTATTAATGTGTCCGAGTCTTAAGGAGCGGAGACACAACACATGGCTTTAATGAAGGTGCATTTTAGAAAATTAAATTCGTGTACATACGACTCACAGTCGCTGAAGTTATTTCCTGTAAGGAATCCCGTAATTTGGCGTTTCTTTCTTAATTGCAAGACTTATAACGCCACTGCAGCATTGCTACGAAACTTCCAGAAGAAGATGGGTGAAATACGTTTGAGGCAAAACTCAGAGTAGACCCCGTAATTCCAAGGCAGTATGGGTCTGTCTTTGCTATCTCAAAACGGTAGAATTTCCCAGGATTGTACTAAAACACTTCCGAAGTGGACATAGTGGTCGATTCAAGGACACCCTTTTTACGGTAGGGTGACATTAAATCAATACTGGACCACANACCACATTCCTTACAACCTAATTCCTCAATCGGATTGCTTTTATACAAGTCAGATGTCCGTCTCATCTGTGCAGCAAACAGGTATCAATTTGTAGCAACACAATACAATAGGCAGGTTCTTCACTGTTCATCTCTCCTGACATGTTTCAAAAATTTACCTAATTGGTAAATCAATGATTTTTGGTTAAACTTCTAAAGAAATGATACCAGCACTGTTACCTGCCACAGTGACTTGTATCCCATACCCTTCCGAACGGTAAACTGAGAGCCTTTTTTCAGGAATAACTTATATGCACTTTGTGACACACATATTTTAATAAGTTGGAGGATTATGTTAGAAAACACTGTTTATAGTAGTAGAATTAATACCTGCCGATAATTTGCAAGACCGAAAATCTCACCGAAAATTTGAAACTCTTGGGACGAAACCAGACAGTTTTCAATGTGCTCTGAAAAGAATGAGGTAAATAAAAGTCCATTTTTACTCGTCGTCTGTCTACATCAAATTTATTCCAGTTGGGAGAGGCAGTGAACTTTTTCCACTTTGCGATAAGAATTCATCCAAACAGACCTGGAACAAACTACCTGGACCTGTTCCGATTTTACACAGCAGAAACACATGATAAGTACACTTGCCTTTTTAAAACGTTATATATACTACGTATACACATATATATGCTGACAGCTCAGTGGAACCGTCTTATACAAGTGATGTTAAAATCGCTTTCAGTGCAAATTAGACCGAAGTTTACTTCGTCAAACCAAATCAAGAAAATTTGGGTGGGTGGCTGCTTTCGCCTAAAGAGGCAGTTTGCGAAAATTGCTTTTTTCTGATTTTCCGAATGCATGAAAGTACGTTTCCGTTCCAAAGAGCTCCAGCTCGGGCGGCATAGCGTGACAATACTGAGTCGAAAGTTTGCAGATAATGTGCATTAGAACTTGCTGACCATTCTCCGACGGGGTACACCAGTACCAATATGGGAGATAACGAACGAGACCAGCTTGCTTCACTTGGCATCCATTCTTCACCGTAAACAAGCTAATTTCAATGGGAGAATATTAGGCATCGTAAAATCTTTTCTGTCTCTATGGGTGGTGTGACAGACTGACCTAAGATAGTGTTCCAAATATCCCTTGTAGTGAAATGGCAAATGTTCCGCTGTACCCCAATGAATTTTACTTTTGCACAAATTTGTTAAGTGATTACATTTTGAAGCCAAACCTAGAAACATGCATATCAGTCCTTCCACCAAAGACTAACCCATTACATTTATGGAGATGCTCATAACCCGGGCCATAAAAAAGCGGAGTTTTTCCAGCCTTATTTTATTCCAACTGCGGCTTTGTCGAATCATAATTTGATGCTCCTAAGTTGTGCTTTTTATAAGAGGTATGGCGTAAGCAAAAGTGGCTGTTGCGTTCATCTCCTAGGTTTACAATGAAGGTTTGTGTTGAGACTCTGAGAAACAATAAGGCTGACTCTTGAGGTGTATGAAGGACTCAGGCGAACAACTTTGTATTTGACTTCGTAAGCCCGAACAGATATGGAGAGCTATGCGATTGCTTCCGAAATTTTCACCGGGGCAGTCTGTTGACTAACAATCCGTAGTCAGGCTTTGGCTTTCACAGATCAGTTTGTTTAGGAACTGCGAAATATATAATAAGGCCGCTTCAGGCTATACACAAACCGTGCAGCCGATGAAATTTATATTGGGTTTTAGATTTTAGACAGTCGAAAACATTGCGTATTCAACTTTTGAAAAAAATAATAAAAAACATTTAACCTAAGCGCAAGTAATTAGGTCCCCAATTATGTGAAGTCAGCAGAACTGATCTGTGAAAGTTCCAACGAATAGGCTATCAAAGCTGCGTTTGGCTTCCAGTAGTCAAGGCCTCCTTTGAAATCATAGCACTCCCAATCTGAGTGGACCAACTAAAGCAACTAAAGAAAGGTGGCCTGTTGTGTAAGACTGTTGTCAGAGAAGAACAAATATTTTAGCCATACAGTAAGGATGATGCATGGCGTAATCAAGATATATTCATACACATTGTGGATTTAAACTAAGGCAGAATGATCCATCTCACATGTAGATGCTCTTTCGATATTCCCTTGTTACTCCCTCGACGTACTGGAAAAGTAGGCTGCTTGAATTCCTCGGCATTTTCTATGAATACTTGACAGATTCAAAGTCCATTTCTGAACACAAAACTGGTTAATTTGATCTTCCCTGATGCACTAACTAAATTTCTGAACCGAAAGTTGGTGTGATACATACAAGATGAATCCGTTAGTCTGTTTACCTTGAACAACTGAGTCATTCGAAAACCCAGCGGTTGCGCTCCGAAAAGCTGTCTGTAGCTCCGGGGCTATCGCTCGACCTGATGGAGGATAGAAGTATAGTTCATAAATTCCATTTGTTTTCGATGCCTCGTAAGTTGCAACGAATCCAATATTTTGTGGTACCGGTACTTTGTTTTGTGATGTTCTGGCCACATCCGTGATCTGAAAGAAAAAACAAAATAAGGAAGTTTGATCCCTCTGAGGGAATAAAACAACTTCAAGTGCAGTAAGCTTCATTCGGTCAACCATCAAACCGTTCAGAGTGTGAACATAAACATGAGAGTACTATGAGCTAAAACTGGGAAAAACCATAGAATGGATGGTAATCATCCTCAATTTTGGGCAATTGTATTGGTTTAAAAAGCCTATCCAATAGTGCTTTACTAAAACTCTAATGCAAACAAAGCCACTGTACAATAAGTACAAAATATCGGAGGACAAAGGTTTGAGAAGGAACCCTGACTAACTCACGCAAACATTGTTTTGTGCAGACCTTCCAGAATGTTCACAAAAGACCATGTCAACAGACCTCTCAGCGGCTATATTGTTCTCCAAACCTATCCAATTATGCATCCAAATTTACGTCTAGCTGGAGAGCCCCACTCCAAAAAACTGGTTAGTAAGTACCGTCTAAGTAGCGGCCCTTGTTTTCAGAAAGGAGAACTACACAATCTTCCAAACAAACAAAAACCTAGTGCATTACGAATATACATGATCACAATATAGAGCCCCACTCGAAAAGCTGGTTAGTAAGTACCGTCTAAGTAGCGGCCCTTGTTTTCAGAAAGGAGAACTACACAATCTTCCAAACAAACAAAAACCTAGTGCATTACGAATATACATGTATCACAATATCTCAAATATCGTAGCAGCCGAAACTGAAGCGACCTGGTGCAGCAAATTCAGTTGCCTGGAAACATCACGAACGAGAGAGTCAGCTGGGTTCCAGGTGAGTCTCTTGCAAAATCAAATTTGTTTGCGAATTAGGGTATTTTCCTAGTGCACGTTGTTCGGTTTCTTGCAACAAGACCATTGAACCTCGAACCAGGAGACGTAAATTCGTCGCTCCTCTCAATTTGAATTTCAATGAATTTTCCTAATGATATCATCTTGTATACTCATCTACACAGTAAAATATGTAAGATAGAAGGACAGCAGTTTCCGGTAATTAGATAAGGTGTATATGATTGCGGAATTTGTAAAATCTACGTTCGATTGGACGGTCCAGACCTCGTTTTCGGTGCGATCAGGCTAACAAAAGGAAACTTTTTTAGACCTAATCAGGAATGCGTATCCTTGACCCCGCCGGGGTTTTGGACACCGGATACCTGACACAAGAGATGAGTTTGTTAGCAGTACTTTACCAGCGTGCACCAAACGCACGTGGATTATCACATCTGAACTGGCGAACCTGTTCATGCTTGAGGGATGTGACTGACGGTTTCAGTGACGACCCAATAACCGACCTGTCTGTGTCAATTGACTGACTCGCCAATCAGGACTTCCTGGTCAGGTAGCTCCACAAACGCTTGAAACCTGCTGGACAGCTTTCGAACTCCTGTAGGTGGTTGTGGGTGGTTATGTAAGTCAGACATGAAGAGTTGATAACTTAATGCTAGTCTAATAGTAACCATCTGGTCCTCCTGAGAACAGAGGACACGATTAATACGGTCAACCAATATGAGCATTCAATTTCCACGGATGTTTGATCCATTACAGAAAAATTGGGTTTCGCTCCGTGTCCCCGTTTGTCTCATGGTGAACAATCTACTAGGCAACTCTGAACGAAGTGATCGAATGATTTGACAGGAGGAGGTCTCGCAAAACCTCTTTTCAACATCGATAGAGTGAACTAGTCTAATATAGCTTTAGAGCAATCAGTAATCTATGAGTAGTCTCAAGGACGCTGAAAACTGGGGATGCGCTGCATCAGATTTCCGATGAATCAGTTTATTTGATTAATCTGTCACGGTGAATCGCAACCCCCTTGCTACTTACTTGCTTCCGAACGAAAAGCGGTGCTTGGGTCAAACCAAGAGGGCTTAATTTCCACAGGCTAAAACCTTGCTCAACCAACGTTTGTGCATAGTCCTTGCACAAAGTGAGTTGGTGGCTTCACTGAAACGACATTCGTTAACCAATATTCCATTACGTTTAAGACCACAAAAGCCCTCCAGTGATCCAGAACCTGTTTCATCCCTTTTGACGCTCGATTTCTCGTCAGCCGATTTACACCACTCTCCTTGCTGTTCCCTCTGTTCCGCACGTGTCCAGGTCTGTGTGACAGAAAACACTCTTTAGAACTACGGCCACAAGCCACAGCGTTTACTGCTTTCGGAAGTGGTGTCACTTGAGAAAGTTAAGCATTTTAAACAATGTCATTTCTTCAGTTATTCTGGATAGTCCAACCTCTGACAAGTCACCCAAGGTAGCCAGAACACTGGGAGTGAAATTCCACCTCAGAAACTGAAACACTCCTGAAAATTCCGCCTACTCTTATGCCACATGGGGGTTTGATTTTTTGTTTATGTCACTGCTCTCTCGTAATTCAGTTCTTTTTTCTAAAACAGCGTGTACATATTTAAATTATTCTGGTAGGTGCTTCTCAATATGCTAGCAGTCTCAAAACGAACGATGATTAGTCCAACACAGGGGTAAAACTCTTTCTGCCTGCACTATACATCAAGAACTCATTCATGTTATCACCGGAGTTTGCGTATGCAGTCATCTACTTAGCCCGTTTGTAAAGGTTTTAAATGACAATGCGTTTTTTGTAGCATAGATACACGTCTCTAAAACAGACCTTACTTGCAAAGGTCCTAGACAGTAATAACATTATAAATAAGAATAGTGCGGCGTCCAGATCGTATTAAATGGAAATCCAGAGATACCCAAACTTCAAAAGACTCAAACAGTTAACAGCAATTAACTTACCTGTTGAAAGACCGCACTTCGCGCTTTGCTCTCACCTGGGTTAGATGCCTCAACTCCACTCAATAAAACGGGACCATCAATACGGACAACTGAAGTATTTATTAGAAGAAATATATGAATTGCTACGAGTATCCATGTGAATGGGTGACGGGTTACTATTTATAACCAAAATAAACGGCCCTGTCTTTCTTTACGATTGTGATATCAAAGCGACAGGCAAAGACCCAGGAAGGGGACCTAGTTTGTCCAACTAAGAGCAGCCGAGAGATGCAATCTTGTATAGGTTAGGGGTCGTTTTGTCCCGTTGAGAAAACATGATCAGAATAAACTTTTAACCACACTCAGAAGAACTAATTTCGTCGTACAAGCTCACTCATTTACAACCGTGGTTTATTAATTATTGATTATTACTGATGATTAAGTAATAAATCCGCTACAAAAGACGCTTGTTTAGAAGTTCAAGTCCCCATGGAAATGTCGCAAGATTCAGACCTGCCCCTGGACATAGGTTGCTTAAGTTGCTGTCACTATTCTCGGTATTGTAGAACAGATGCGCATAAAAATCCAGCAGACCCGGGAAATTGGAAAAATGCCACTTCCTCAGAAAAGCGCAAAACTTAGAAACCGGCTGAAATCGACTTTGCTCTTAACACGCTCCCCCTCTTGGAAGGTCAATGTTTCCATTCGCATTTTAGGAGAAATAACCACCTATTTTGTACTGAGTTGCCGCAACGTATTTGATCTTGAAAGTAGGAAAACGGAACGAGGTTGCTCATAACTGAAAGGCGGTCAATTAATTAATCAAATAAGAACCATTTAAACTCGTGAATTGACTCGGCTGACCACAATCGAGCTCTCTTAGACGGTTAAGAACAATTTGGCCTTGTATAAACGCGCGTCATCCATTTACACCCTGCGTACGTATTACAATTTTCAAATAAGTACTTACTCTGTATCCTATCGCTTTTGAATGTCGTGCAAGCGTGTGTCAGCACGTTTAGATAATCTGTTGAAAAACACGGAATCGACATTTTTATAAATGCAAAAAAGGCAGTGACTGTTTTTCAAAACAGCCCATTCCGATTGCTTAACTTACCGTTGGTCTTCTTCCTCTGGGTTGCGTGCCTCCAGTCTTTGGTGGTTCATTTTTGAAAGTAAGTGAGTTTCGGTGAATTTGGGGCGGAATAATGTAGAGGTGAGTTTAAGATGGAGGGGAACAATACATTGCATTGGAAAAATGGTATGTAGAATCTGTCAAAGCCACAAGAACTTCTTTTGATTATTTTACTTAACCAGATTGTGTACGCCTTGGAGAATCGAAAACATACAAGCCCGTGGCACAGTCTGTTGCTCCTGACCGTCCACGAGCAATCACCACTCGATTAAACATAACAAGTGACTTCGCGGCAGGCTGAAAAATTATTGATACTATTACTAGTAATTTTATGAGGCAGAGAGTGAAGTAGCCGGTCCATCAGACATGTGTGGTCTAGTTCTCACCTTCAGTACGGTGGGTGCTGTTCTGCAATCGTATTAATTCCAACCATGTGTTTGATATAAAAGCAGAGGAAATTTTGTGTTGCCTTATGTCAGCTTGTCACACCCAAACCGAGTTTCTAGGCTGGATGCCTCCGTGGTCCGAAGATGTATGTGACTCAGTACTATCTGATACATGAGTACACAGGGGAATAGACAAAATGAAGCTACGTAAGACACTAATGAGAACAAGAGGAAGTTATTGACTCAATAGAGTCCTCTGAATCCGTGGCGGATTCCCAAATATCTCCCTGAGGTGAAGTTTTTTTACCTTACAGGTGAGGTAATGATTCTTCTGTACAGTAGTCATATGATACTATTTCTCCGCCATTCTTCAACACTCTTCATAAGTTTTCAACGAAATTTCGCTTTTTATCTATGACTGGTGTAAGCCAGCACAGTCTTATAACGAAACTATCGTTGGCCAACGAATAATAATTACGAAGAGCTATTCTAGGGGGACAGCGGGTCACCTTTCGATCGGTGTCATACCCCGGGTATGTTCCAGGCAGCGAAGTTGTCTGCTGAATTTCTGACTTTGTGAATTTAGGTCTACTCAAGAGACTGTTTGATGCTTTACCCAAAAGAATTATACCGATTGTTTACACTTATAGTTTACTGTTATTTCACAGCTTAGGGCACTAAGGACTTAGTACTTCCTGTTACGGATTAAACTAGGTATCCGTAGAACACCATAATGTCTCGCTTTCCATTGCGGAGCGAGGATAATTGTCGAAGGAATTACAAGCAATTCACATGTGCCCTGGATAAAATATACACTTTTTTTACCGCTTTGAAGGAGCAACGATACGTACAGGATTTGCATGGAACCGATTGGACTACCCTACTCTGATTTCGACTGTGCATCCCATTAAGAATGAATCTTTGTGTCATAGGTACGTAACTGTCAACTGAAAGGTAATGTTTTCAAAACTGTTGCCACTGTAAGGTGGTATGTACGAATTAGTCCGCAAAACAGAAACTCCAAAAGAGCACTAGAAGTGACTAAAATATGGCTTGTGTAGAATAGTCCGAGAGACAATTCAGTTGTGCGAAACAGCTAAGTCTTCAGAAGAATGTTCGACTCCCACATTACATTACTCTCACATTACATATCAATTTTTCCATGTTTAGCAGTCCAACAATCGCGCGAATCTCTAGTCAGAGTTATGGTGTATATCCCTTAGTTTGTGACACAGCTGCCATCCGAAAACCAGTACAATGTGGAACGATAGGTCATCTGTTCAACTACTGAAACCATATTCGAAAGGATACTGAAAGAATTACGTTTAGCCAAGGTGATCCATTTGACTTCGTCATTCTAGATAATAGCCACATCTTGAAGACACAGTATTATAATTAGAAATTTGCAACCAAAATTTTGAAAGTCTTTCGAAACTCACTGCCTATCTCGATTATCTCAATGGTTGAATCAGAGTCTTCGGCATCCTCCTCGTCAATAGAATGAATCCGATCCAGAGAAGAATACACATCTCTGGCACTCATTTGAGAGATACTCGCCTTCTTCACATAAACAGTGAGAAAAACTTTGAACCCAAAATTTGACACTTGCATCTTTTCTGTCTCAACAACCAGGGGTTCAACCTCCCTGATCGCCGAAATCCGCCGATTGATCAGCTAAAAACACGTTTCGTGGGGGCAGAATTAAGTTAGTGAATTTCATTTAGGGACCAGTTAAGTTCCTCGTCAACACCAAGTTACCTATGACATGATAATGAAGTAAACTAAAAAGCTGCGGTTACCTGAAGTGTTCAAAATTAAGCATCCAAAATTGTACTGTCAATGATCAGTCACCTCAAATGGTGACTGTTTTCAGCGTACCTGAAACAAAGTGATCTGGTCTCTTTATCTAATATCGTCAGTATTTGACGCTTTAGGTTGCGCAACGAATAGGTTTACAGCCTGGGTGGGTTAAATCTAGTCCATACATGGTTAGATCGATCTCAATAAACCAACCAAAATATCGAGCCTCTCGGACGGACCATGCAAAACCTCGAGCATCCTGTGGCTGTTTGCTTGGCTTCTTCCGAAAAGGGAGATCAGCTACGGCTGGCGCTTTGCATAACTTGAGTGATGCACTACCTTTGAACCTTTCATTGGCGAATGTTTGACTAACGGTGACTTCTGAATATGTGAGAAAACTCAATACCCCTTATCCATCGGGCTTTCCGAAATCCGAAAAACTATGTTTTTACGTGGTATCAACGTACCACAGTATACATAACGTTGCTGGAAACACCTAAACAGCCCAAGGCCAAGTTGTCCCTCCTTGGAACTCAGTAGGCTGGCACAATTCCGAAGTTCTCCTCAAGATTATGTACTTCATGAACCCCAACTGCGCGCGGTTATTGGGGTAAATTCATTCGCACACCAATCTGGTTTCCCCAGAGAAATCAGCTAGCTGATTTAGTTGTGTTTTCCATTGAAATGAAAATACAATGCAAATAGGTGTTCACAACCCTGGAAGTTAGGAACAAAAATAACTAGTAAGCTTTCCTGTAGCTCCTTTTTTCGTCGTAAAGTTGTAACCATACATAAAAACTGTCCTGAATTCGGTTATCCCTGTTTTCAGCTCAAGAGTAAAAGATAGGGACTCGCAAAGCAACGAATAAGGTCGGATGTTTGTTGATAGTATGAGGGGGGCTGGAATTTAAACAGAAATTTGGCCTTGTAAGTGGAGCAAATATATGTTGAAGTTACCACTCGATAAGTTCATCAACACTTGTAACCACGTGAAGTGAGTTCCTTAATTGAAGAGTGAGTATCCTGTCCGAGTGCGAACTAATCACACTGCTGATAACCTACTCGTGGTCGAAGGGTTTATTTTTCAAACAGCTAGCTGGAAAGTTGGTTGTCCGAGGTCCTCTTCATTTCGTGAGATGTGCACTTGTAATTTTTCAGCAGAGCCTGGCTTCAGTTGAAGGATGAAGTCCTCATTACCGGTCAGGTGAATTATCACTGTTTGATGGTATCTCTGACCGTAATTGAACAGAAACTAAGTATCTTAGTAAAGTTATGAACAAATTTCTTTCTCTTACGCCATCTATTCTCCACGGACCAAGAATACATGCCAGTGTTTCGTTAAGACAGCCGGTGTGTTGCTCATTTCAGGTGGAAAAATAAGTATGGTTCAAATCGAAATTCCGTTTCAACACTCAATACACTGTTGTTCAACGTTGTCTCACACACGTTTGGAGTCGCTGCCAGTGCTCAATCTAGTAGGTCTGATTGGTTGTTGGTCTGTTCGCCGAGCTTGGCAGTTGGATTGCAAACTTTTCATCACCGATCGAGGTGACATCGTCAGTGCAGGAGATCTGATCTTGCTCAGAACCTGTTCAGCAAGAAAAATCTATCTGAGTTCTCTGGTCCGTCATTTATTGAAGTTGCCTAACGATATATTTTATCCTTAACCTCAAGCCTGATAGGCCAATGAATCGCAAAGATTATACTTATTCACCCGCCGTAAAATTTCCCGCGAAATGCGGTGTGTAAACATTCACCTAGCACTCCAACAGTCATGACATCTTTAAAAGAAAGAAAGAGATAAAACCTTCCGGCTTCCTTCTCCTGGATTTTTTAGCACGAAGTTTTCCATCGGCATTCTTTCTGGGTAGCCCCACCTACTTCAGATCCGTTTAAAACGGGACGGCTCATCACTGGGCGAGCGATCAATTCTATAGTAAATGTGTTCTTCTGTCCCTTATTTTCCCAGTCTCTGTTCTGTTCGATCCGAAGTTCCCAAAGTATATCACATAACATCGTTAAATTTTTTATCAAAACTTGTCTGTTTCAACTGCCACTGATCTGTCGCATTGACAGAGTCTTGCAAATGATCATCGTCATTGACACTACTAAATTAACTTTTTTTACTCCTTTACTAATCAAAACTGGTCTAACTAGACGCTGTTTGTAATAATAAATAGCCCAAAATTTTCAAAACAAATGAATGAAACTCACAGCTCTCCGCGCACCAAAGCTTGTTTTGAGATATGAGGCACCCATGTCATCGGTTAATTCTTCTGCTTTAGGAGGTTTACGGAGGCCAATATTCAAGTTGAAAGCTATTTTGTATGTAGAAAAAGCAAAAAGCTTTTAAAAACAAGGTGTGTTGGTAATTTTTCTGGATCATCATTAGCGTGAGATAGGTCTACAAAACTTCCTTAAATTTTGGTAGCAGCCGATCACCGTTATTTTTCGGCTTACCAAAGGTTCACGAGGAAATGAATTCAATCAGACCAGACTTGTATTACACACCAACACCATCCCACAAACTCACGAATTCTGAAAGGAATAATCCAGCTGTTCAAGAATGAGGTGACGAACCATTTTGCGGATTCTTTCGGTCTTGTTAACAAACCTGAAAAAAACTACACCTAAATGGGACCTCTCGCACTGTTGACCTATCGTGTCCATATACCATTTACATTTAGGTGTAACGTATCCACACATTCATATATATATATATACTTTTATATGCACCTTTCAGTGTTGTGCCACCTGTTAGAAGACAGCGTCCCTAGCGACACATACTGAATTTCCATCTACTGAAATAGTTTCGTGAATCAAACTTCTCCTCTGCCTGACACGCATCACATTCTAAGAGACATTTTATAAACGAATAAACAGAGTAGCCGGTCGCACTAACCGTTACATATATTTCTGTCGAATACCTAGGAGTATAAATGACTAGGAGTGTAAATGATACATCAGTTTCCGCGTATACTACTCATTTGGCAACATCACGCCCATTAACCTTTCCGAATTCGCAACGGGAATTAAATATGGGACGGTTGTCATAGCTTTTTGGACGGTATTTTTGGAATCAACGAAGAAAGTTACGATGTGAGTTTGTGTCACGAACCGGCTTATTCCGGATAGTGGTTAGATTAATTTTAATGAGACTAACTGTTATCAGCTCCATGATAAACGCAGCTAAACTGATATGTTCCCATGAAAACTCAAGAAAAATTAATGCCGGTAACATCAGTGGAACAACCATCAAGTGTCTTTCATTAGAAAGACACTCAATCAGTCGCGCAGAAGACAAAAACAACAAAATAGTTCCGGTCCCTTAATACACCTAAACTGTCCAGTGAATTCGTGCGGTTTAATCAGGATTTAACACACCCTTGCACTCCAAAATCGACAACAGCACCAGCAGACTGTTGGTAGAGCCTGAGAACCTCCACAAACTAACCAAACTTACTGCGTGAACGCAACCTGATGCAGAGAATTCAGTGCTGTCTACATAGAACAGACGAACGAGAATTCTTCCAGCCCCGAAATCCCTCACAATTCCAACGGCTCATCTAATACACTCCATACCTAGCTGGAAAAAACGGTGTCATATTTTATCAGGCTCAGTTAGTTCATAATTGCCCAACAAGGCTTGTAGAAGGGGGCAGTACGGACGCTACAGAGCAATTCATGCACAACATTCCTGTGTCACTTGAGACGACCACCAGTATATGACCGCTCTCTTGCTTCGGCTTAGAAGCATCAACCAACGTCATGACTGGCTCATGTCAGCTTCAACCCAGAGACGTGCCGTCATACTTCGGTCAATCGAACAACCGGCCAGAAGTTGACCACCGAGTGGCAGAAAACAGCCTTTGTTATTCCAACTACCTTGATCCTGACGACAAATATCCAGTGACTGAGAAGTTAGGCTACAAAACACCAATCGCAATGTAGGTTTTGCTTCGAAAATCAAGCTAAGGATATCATTTAACTATGGGTAGTGTAGTGGAAAGGAAATAACCGTATCAAGTTTACCCCCAGATAACCTCTGTAAACAAAAAACAACGAAATGATCTATCGGAGGAACCGAACAGTATCCAAAATTATCACTCAAGAAACACTCCATCTGGATGAAGAACACTTTCGCAGGTCGGTCGCGGTAACATTCACATCTTCAAGGCGTTAGCCACGTGATTATACGGGCCAAATATTTCCCAATTGTCATCATCTATCGGTTCCCTTAACTGACTACCAGGAAAGCAACTGGCTATAGGGGTTCATTAATCGTGGAAAGCAAATTATTCCCAGAGATCGCGATACAGTATGTTCTCCATAGGGTTGCTGAAAATTCGTCGACAGCCCACGACCAGTTTCGCCCTTGTTGGGGCTCCTCAGGTAGGCGCAGTCCCCAAGTTTCCGTCAACCTCATGTTCTACTTACTGGATTCCAGGTGAGTTTCTCGAAAAACCAAATTAGTTCGCAAATGAGTGTATTTCGCAAATTATTCCCACTTTTTATGGCAATAAGAAAGCCGTGAGTTCGAACTCACTCAGGAAAATTCATTTACGCGACCTTTTTGGTACTTTGTAGTAGGGTAAACTGTTGAGCCGAACTGGCTGCGAAGTTATTAAGAGGGCTGAATATCTCAATAAAATTCGAACACGCAATTAGTGTATCTAGAAAAAGAACACATGACTTGGGAAATGTTCATTGGTCAATCCTGAGTGTTGCCCATCATTCACCAATCGAGCGATATGATTCGGTGAAATGTTTGATCCACCGGTGTATCGTTAGGGATTCCATAACATCAGGCATTTCAGTCAGACGCAATCGTAATATCCTAATTTGGGTAAAATATATTTATGGGACATATATTG